AAACCATCCAGCCCGGGGGAAGCTTCTAATATGAATATTAATTTTACCACACACTAGTTATGGTTGGGGACTTTGGCATATCTGGGGCTCAGTCCCCTAATCTCTGCAATGAGATTAATAATAGTGAACAAAGCCGGGCACCAGTGGCTCATGCCTGTAATCTTAGCAACTCGGGAGGCTGAGATCAGAATTTTGTGGTTCAAAGCCAGCTCAGGCAAGAAGGTCAATGAGAGTCTTATATCCAATTAATGATCCAAAGAACTGGAAGTGGAGCTGTGGCTCAAGTGGTAGAGCACTAGTCTTGGGAGGAAAAGCTCAAGGACAGCACTCAGGCTCTGGGTTCAAGCCCTAGAACCAGCAACACACACACACACACACACACACACACACACACACACACACTCACACACTCTACTGAACAAGAAAATACCAAGTCCATAGGCTGTGATGTGAATTAATGACAAAACATCCACAATTCCCAACTACTTGTAGCTGCTTCATAAATGATCATTTCTGTTAATAATGGTCTGCCAAGACTTTGCTTGTATCAGCTAGGAGAGTCTAGGTTATGTGACAATAACAATTATGCCCAAATTTTTGTGGTTTACAACAACAGAGGTGGCTACTTCTTGTGCATGCTGCATATCCATCGTGGATCAGGCGCAGCTTTGTTCCTGATTCTTCTCTCCTAGACCCACAGCTGTGAAGGACCAAGTCCCTGGGACACTGCTGGCTGCCATGATAGAGGAAGGTCTTCTATCCCATCGAATATTATGGCTCATACATGAAATATATTATTGACATTCAGAGCTCATTGGCCAGAGTCTATTATACATTCTCTAAAGAAGCTCAGGAAGAATAAACCCACCAGGTACCTAGAAAAGAAAAGAGCTGGGAAAATGTGGGCAGCATCCCTGTGACTCTCACAATGCATTTAAAAATCCATGGCCCAGACCAGAGGGATAGAGGCTCAGCAAGAGAATGGGAAGAAGGGAGGAGGCAGTGGGAGCAAAGAGGGCCAGGGGGACTTAGTGTGGGGGACGATCTAAGCTGAGGTACAGGACTGGAACACGGGGCACCTTTCTTAGCACGACCTGAGCTCACACAGCCCTTAGGCCATTCTGTGCCACAGGCAAATGAGCTGGTCTTGTGGAATAGGGCACCGTGGGCTGTCAATCTACATGGATGAAAAGCTGCATGAAGCTCGTGTTTTCTTGGTTCTCTGGCTATGGGCAGAACAGGCACCTAGCACTGTTTCCCTGGCTTTGTCTTTCCTACTCCATTGGCTTCCAGAATCTATTCAGTTCCTGTCATGGTTTGGGAGAGAAGCTAGTGAGTGTTTCTGGGGTGTTTTTAGCTAACCCCTCTTCTGCTCCTGCCTTGGAGACCAGGCAGTTATTCCTCCCTGCTTCAGGCCTCGCACGCACATCCTTTGTTACCACTGACGTAAGAAGCAGCTGCTTTGCTGGCTGCAGCCTCCGAGGGTCCCCTGGGGCCGCAGATGCTCAGCGCTAAGTCGGATACCTGTGCCAACAGTGCCACCTTCCGTCCCGGATGAAGCTGCTGGCAATGAGCAAGGCTTCCAGATCTCCTCCTGCAGTCCCCACTGGGGGGATCCTTCTGGTGGTTTGAACCTGGTGTGGGGACTGGGTGAGGCTTCTCCCTGTGTTCCCCAGGGCCCGGACCTGACTCCATATAGCCAGGTGACAATCAGTTATCTAGACCACCTTCCTGCTAGAACAGTGAATTAGAAGGCAAGGGAATTGGAAGGAAGAAGGGAGTCCAAGGTAAGGATGAGAGAAGGAAGGAAGAAGCTTGATGTAAGATTTTAGGCAAGAAAAGGACCAGTAGATTTACACTTAGATTTAGATTTAGAATGGCTAAGAGGTGGACACAGCAATGATAAACAATAATGAGCTAATTAAAGCCTCTCCCTTCACAAATCGCTGACTTTGGAGTTCCCAGAGCTGGCAGATGCCTGCCTGAGTTTACCCACTTCCTTACGGCAGGTGGCACTTCTGCCACAGGTTTCATAATGGCAGCACAAGGTTCCTTTCCAGGGACACAGAGGACACTCCAGCTGAACATACTGGCTGCTGAGCCTGCAGGTGTCCCCTCAGGTCACTGGATCTGGATGAAAATCATGGCATGAGTCTTCATATTGGTCTGTCTCCTTTGCTTTGCGTCAGACCCTCCTCAACTCTGCATGCAGACACGCAGGGCATTTGAGAAAGGTTTTCTTTGGACTACAATTCAAAGTGGACATGACCTAGACTGGTCTAGCTGCTCTCCTCCTCCTTCAAGACTATCAGCACTGGCCCACCACCACGGCAGGAAACACCAAGCCTTCAAGGAGCAAAAAGACGTGACATCCATGTTCCTACAAGACCCCAGTCTCTTATCCAAAAGAAATATGAATATTTCTCCTTCCTATTAGCCTATATTACCCATTCTATATCTCACTCCTTGGCCCTTGTGGGGTTGAGACATTGATTTCCTTCTCCATTCTTTGATTTTTGAATAAAGTCTTTCTTTCCTACAACACGCTGATCTCCGACATTGGATTTTCCAGGGAAAGAACTTCCTAAACTGAATTCAGTAACAGAGTAACCATGTGACCCAGTCCTGACCAATGAGAGACAAGAGAATTTCTGTCTGGAAGTCCCCTGAGTTTGTGATAGGCTTCCTCCGGCTGATGTGGGATGGGGTTCCTTCCTGCTTGATTTGCACACGGTGACCACAGGACTCTCAATTCCTGGAAAAGCTGTCAGTGGAGAGAAGAGGTGGGTGCTGGATGGTACCCCAAATGGCTCCTAGCTGTCTCTGCTCATAGCGAAGTGCACAGCTCATGTTAACAACTTCCTTCTCCTTTCTTGCTGGTTAAATCAGAGGAGCTGAAAACAGAGACAAGATCTTTTTAACAGGTGTGATAGTAGCAGAGTAGCACCAACAATATGATATTAAGTGCAAGGCTTGAACTGGAATTTCAGTGTGAAGACTGCAAGTCAAGGTCTAACCACAAACCCAGTGAACTGCATGGGCCTACTGGCACTGCAGCCGCAGGCCTGGCTCACTGGGAGAGCACCTGCGCCTCTGCAGGATGCGGCCTGGCAGCTGAGGGGAACGGACTGATGGAACTTAGTCCTGAATTCACTGCTGTGGCCATCTTCAGTCCACATCGACTGATCGAGAGCAGGCGACTGTGCCCAGAGTGAGCTCTGCACTCCTCGAGGGTAGGAGGGAAGGATGCTGAGCCTCCATCTTCCACCAGGTGCTGCTACTCTCTTCTAGAACCTTCCAAAGCAGTTTCAGGGCTGCTTTCCCATGGATTAGGATCCCCTAGTCAGGAAATCAACATGGCCCGTGATCAGAGACTTTGGTCAAGACCCAATATGGAGCTGCAGACATCCTTGTGACTTGCAATGTTATAGGCAGGCTGAGCTGTTCTAGAACAAGCCATCCGATCTCCTGGGGGACCATCTGTGCTGGCATCTGTGCTCAGAGACCTCGCTTCCACCCTCAGGTCCAGTCTGCAGCCCTGTTCCCTGGGTTGCTGCCCTGACACTGTGCTCAAGAGTCTCTGAATGTTCCAGGGATTCAGCACTCTGAGCATGGGGTCCTCACCCTGCAGAAGCGTGGCTCCTGTGCACAATCACACAATCTGCATCTCAGCATGGCTCTCTGGCTGTGCAGATAAACCCATGCTGATCCCAGGGGGAAGAATGGAGGAGGGAAGTCCAGGAGGAAAAATGACCAAACAGTAGCCTTAGCAAGGACCCGTGGTCTGGGTATCAAAAGCTCAAACTGGAGACTTGGCTCCTCCTGTGAGTTTTCAGGTGAAGGCCTCTGTCCCTACCGTGGCCTCGGCTTCCTCACCTGGAGCATCAGAGCTCACACTCCACAGATATGTACAGTGTTTTATGGCAGTGTGAAACACAGGGAGAAAAGGTGATAGTTAGGAAATGATTATAAAATTCCAATCAAGTAGGGAAGGAGGTCCACTGAGAACTTTGAGAGTTCTAGTCGCCAACCATCTTACCTCAGAGCTCTAAGCAGGTGACAGTGCCACCATACAGCCTTGTCTAAGATGGCCATGTCAGGATGGGAAAGGCCTCATCAGAGGGGTCAGGCTGACCTCTGGAGTCCAGCCCCAACTGCAGCTCCTCTGCCAGGAAGGCAGCTGTGGGGCTCAGAAGTTTTGGAGCCGCTATGGACTTTGTCCGCTCTTGACCAGGTGCCAAGGAAACCAAGCAAGGTTGGTGGCCTCCGGTGACCTGGGGTGGGCGGGTGGGGGTGGAGCTGGTGGGGTTCAGCCAGGAAGCAAGGCATGATGTTTCCAGGTGGCAGAAGCTGGAGATCCTGGTAGAGGAAGCCATGCAGGCCACTGTCTAAAAGCTGTGTGGACAGGACGCCCAGCCACAGCCCAGCAATGAGCCTGCAGTGAACATGCAGGATGCGGAGAGGGGGGGGAAGAATGGGGAGGGGGTTGTGCAGGGGTGAGGGGCTGAATCTAAGCCCAGTCATCATGGGGAAGTCCATTGTATTTTTGTGGAATAGCTTTTCTCCTAAAGACCATGGAGACACACTAGGGAGATGGTCTCTCTCTGTCTCTATCTCTCTCTGTCTCTGTCTTTCTTTTTGTCTTTCTCTGTCTCTCTCTCTCTGTCTCTGTCTCTCTTTCTGTCTCTGTCTCTCTCTGTCAGGTGGTATTGGAGTTTGAATTTAGGGCTTTGTGCTTGGAAGTCAGAGGCTTTACCATGGAAGCCAGTTCTCTAGTCTAAAGTCATTCCTCTGAGAGAGTAAACAGGAAAGGTGATCAGACCTTAAGCACATATTTGGTATGCTGTCTGATTAATCATGCTTCCTGGAATCCAGAACTTTCAATTTCACTTTCCTTTGCTAGTGCCTGAATATATATAGCCCGAGTCTGTATTCTTGTGTCTGAGAGGCACAACTGGATGCACACAGTGAAGGACCACGGGTCACCAGCAAACCCACCAGAGGAAGATTCTGTGGTGAGTTGGACGTAACCTGCTCTCCCCATCCAATTCCTCACCATCTCCAAAAGGGCTCTCCATTTTATAGATGAGCTCAGAGAGGTCAGGCAGTCAGCCCCAGGTCACACTGTGGGGCAATAGCAAAGTCCAGATCCACCCACAGGGTTGTGTCTGCCTGCTCCTCCCTCCCCATGGTTTCTTAAACAGAGCATCAGCAGGAACTGCTCAGGTGGGTCCACAAACGTCCTCAGGATGAGTGGGCTGCAGGTGAGCTGGCACATGGCCAGCAGGGCTGAGAGGAAAGGTGACTGGGGTGGTGCTGCCATTTTGGAAAATGGAGGACACAGAGGAGTTGGAGAAGATCAGGGGACCCAGCACCTAGTAGTCCTGGCGTCCTGGCCACCCTGGAGCTGGCGGTGGGTGCTGCTGTTAAGCCCTGCAGGAAGTGAACATTTGTTTATGAGAATCAAGGAACCCAGAGGTTTTCCACTCAACCTGCCCTTGAACACGGTGACTGTGCCAGGACCTGTGGGGAGACTGAGGCCCCAGGAAGGGACTGGCTTGCCCAGAGTCCTGGGAATGGGAAGAGCGGGCAGAGGGCCTGGCTCTGCCTGTGGGAGATGGAGGAAGAGGATGGGGCATCCGTGTGTCCAGATGCCAAGGTGACCAGGTCTGGGGACAGCATGCCCAGCACCATCCTGGTTTGCAGTCTTACAATCAAAGGCCTGGCTCTGGCTCTGTGCAGTGGACCTCTGCGTGTGTGGAGGCAGAGGAAAAATCCTAGAAACTTCTGGATGTTTATAGTCACACATTTTGCTTTCAATTCAGAGTCAGAGGCCGGTGCTCAACCCCACTCCGCTCTCCAGAGCTGTGTCTCACTAGGAAAGTCACTTCACATCTTGAGCCGCTTTGTGTCTTTACTGGTGGATGGAGTGAGGATGCTGCCATGTTTGGTGCATCTCTGGGGTGGTGGGAGGTGGGGAGTGGCAGTTCCAGTAAGCAGAGGGGGAGACATAGGAAGGATGGGGGCTGGGCTGAGCTCTGGCCCTGGTGTTAGCCTGGGGACTGGGGGGAAGGCTTTTTCCTAGCTAAAACCCTCATCAAACTAGCTGGATCCTATGGTCTGGGAAATGTTCTCTTGTGCTTTGTCTCTTTTCTTCTCACATGAAAAGGGTCAGGGCTGCAGGATGGACTTGGGCCAAGCCCTGTCTCAGCACAGTGGAGAAGTCGGGGGCCTCCCCTAGGAACTTACACACACATGCAAAACACGCCCACCTAGATCTACACTGAAGAGGCCAGAGCACAGGCTGCTCAACAGAGGACTTGTGTCAGAGCTACCGGGTGCGGGTTCAGCCTTGTGCACCCGGCCGGGGGTGGGGGAGGGGAGGCATTGTGCTCCTTCCCTCCACACTGCAAGGAACCCCAGGTCCTCATCTCTGTCTGTGTGGTCACCTCTGGTGGGGCAAGAAAGAGGCCTGTGTGACAGCCACACCCAGTCCATGCTAGCTACTGTCATGGCTTCCCACAAGTGTGCCCAGCCCCAGGTGTCTGCTGGCCATTCCTCCACGCTTCCTTCTGTGCAGATTCTGTCCTTTCTACATGGCTGTGTCCTCATCCATTGTCTCTAGGAGGACAGGAGGCCTCTGCCTTGGCTGTGCTCAGGGCAGAGGGAGCTGGAACAAGATGACCAACTTTCTATCCATGGCCATGGAGCACAGGGGAAGAGGGCCAGGGTGGGTTGTGTCCTGATACCCTGGAGGGAAGCCAAGGAGACCTGGCCCCTGCTGCCACCTTGTCTGGAGCTTCCTGTGTCCATCCACACTGTGTTTTCTCCTCCTGCAGCTTGGAAAACAACCATGAGTGCAAGAAGTTTTTTCAGAGTCATCTCAGGTGGTGCGAAGAATCTGGTCACCTCCCCAGGTAATCATGGTCCTCTTCTCTGCCTGCCTCCTACTGGAGGCCTGGCCCTGAGGGGCAGCTCCAACCAGAGCTGGCCTGCAGAGGAGTCAGGGCTGGAGGAGGGAGCCTCAAGAATCTACATCAAAGTTTACATCCACCAGTGGGCTTCCTGGCCCTCCCCAGAGGGCGGGTCCCTGCTATTCACTTCCTGCTGACTGTGCCTCCCTAGATGAGGCCAGGAGAGGCCTGCAGATGGGGAGGACAGAAGGGGAGAGGATGAAAGGAAGAAGAGGACCGAAGGCAGCAGGAGATCTATACAACCTATATATGTCCCCTGCTCTCCACCTCCCCTACTTCTAAGGTAACTTCATGGGTGGCCCAGGATCTCTGAAGGGCTCAGAGCAAAAGTGACTCAGAATGGCACTGGACTGGACCCCAGTGTGACCTTGGTGCCCCTGCCCCCACCGGTGACATGAGAGCAGCTTTTGCCCATGTTGCTCTGAGGGTCAGAGGTGATGTGCCTAGGTCCCCAGGCCAGGACCTGCCACACCCCAGCGCCCCTAGTGCCAGTTCCCTCCCTGCACCTGCACCTGCTCCTGTCCCATGCAGCCTCCCCATCCCACCTGAAGCTGTGGCAGGTGCCCGCCCACACTGCCAGGGACAAGCACCTGCTTACAGCAGTGATGGCCCCAAAAGGGCTGGGTCTCCTGACCATGT